TATTTTGTGACAATAAATATATTTCATTATTTTCATTTTTATTAATTCTTTTATCATTTGTTTTATAAATTCAATTCTTATTTATTTTCATCATTTCTCTTATTTCATTATTTCCATTCATAATACATTATTATTCTTATTAATTCTAATTCATATTCATCTCTTATTATCTTATTATTTCATCACTATGATATTATATATTTTCTTTAATCTTTCCCATTTCTTATCATTATTTTATTTTTATTTATTCTTCTTCTATCTTCTTTATTAAGGTCTATTCTATTCTTCTTCTTATTAATTAAATATTCTATTTGTTTAATTTCTTGTTTTATTAATAATATATTCGTTATTGTATTATTTCTTTATTCTTTTAATTCTAGTGTAATTCTTGTTATTTAATAATTATTTTAATTTATTGGTTCTTCTTCTTAGATTGTTAGTTTCATCATTTCGATATATCATATAAAATTATTTTATTGATATTTAGAATAGTATGATATTTTATATATTTCTTTTTTTGATATCTTCTATATTTTAACATTCCCACTTCCATTCTTCATTTATATAATTAATTATTTCATTCAATGTTTTTATTGAAATAATAATTAATATATATCGTTTATTTATTTCTTTCGTTTTATTATCTATTTCATCTTTCATGTGGTTTATCATTATTTATTTTAATTTATTGATTTGATGTATAATTATTCATTATATTTATTGTTATTTATATTATCTTTTTCTTGTTTCTTTCATCTATTCATCTTTTATTCATTTCTATATATTCTTCTTTATTTATCTTTATTATTCTTTCTTCTACTATCTCTTTAATTTCTATAATGTCTAATTTTCATTTTAATATTTATTATATTTAATTAATAACATTATTAACTTTTTATCTTCTTTTCTTCTATTTCTGATTGTTCATTTGTTCTTCATTATTTCTTCTATATTGATATTCTCTCCATTTATCTTCTCATGTTCTTCCAATGTCATTCTTAGTATTTCTTCTCTCATGATTCGAATTACACACTCTTGTATTTGTTTTAGTTTCTTCATTGCTTCTTTTTGATGGATTCCATTTCTTCTCTTCTATAATTATTCCACTTGATCCATTTCTTTGGTGATTCCGTTTTTATCATTAGTACTGTTTTCTTCTTCACTTTGATAAAATTTACATATTGTATGTCTTCTTCATTAATGTTGTTTTCTAATTTATTTTCCTCTGACATCTTTGTCATTAATTTTCTTTTGATAATTTCATCATTTCTCTTTATTCTGATGGTTTGAACATTGATCTTTCTTTTATTGTTTCCATCTTAACATTCTCTTCAATGTGTTTCTTGATTTCTTTTATCTTCTTTTTATTTCTATTAGGAACCAAAATAAGCGAAGAATTATGCACAAATAAAATTCATAAAAAGAAAAAGTAACAAAATATTTTGCACCAATAGATCAGACCATTTTTATTGTACATTTATAATTTCTGCAATAAACAAGTTTTTCATCCTTTATTATCTCTTTTTGACTCACTAATTTTTGTTTTCTTTCTTTTTATAACCCTAACTTTCTGCTTTTATTATTTTCATCTTCTTCTACCTCCTACTTTCATTTTATCTTTATGTCATTCTTTCTCTTTTATTTGCTTTTTCGTGGTGTTGAATTAAATGATATAAAAATAAATAAGTGTGAATATTCTTTCGGTGAGAGATTTTCGAAGTTGTTTAACATATTTTTGTTTTGTTGTTTTTTTAAACCATTGGTCAATTTTATAGGAATAGTACCCCTATGAGTAGACATCGAATATTTAAAGAGATAAGATCTGAAAACAAACAAAAATGAGTATTGAGAAAGGAGGTGTATTAGAAGAAACAGTAAGAAAGGCAATAGAAAGAATTTATTTTTATGGGGAAAAACTGGTACAAGAAAGACATTAACAGCTAATGAAATTTGTAAAAGAGTAGGGCAATTAATTCCCTATAATAAAACTACTAGTAAATTATGGAGAAATTATAAAAAATAAAAAGTAATATTACTTGATGATATTGATAAAGATAGTGTTAATTATATTAAAAGTAGTATATTTACATGAGGAGATTATTATAATTTTGAAGCACAAATAAGTAGTAAAGAAGAAGATACTATTGTAATTAATCCAGTTAATTATACATTAATAATTACATCTACATTTAATCCAGAAGAATTATTTGAATTTAAGAGTAGTTATGAAGGAGAGAAATTCCATAGATTATTTGAAGTAGTTCATACAGATGAAAATTATTTAGAGTCTTTAAAATGAATAACATAAATGAATAATTTTTAAGAAATCAATTAGATTTAATTTTTAATTTATTTAAATTATCTTCTGAGTATTTTTGGTCATTGACTCTATTAAGAAGATCATTAATAACAAGCTCCGTAAAGAGTCTGTAATGATAAGCAGGATATTTCATAGTTTTTAGATTCATATCATTACTATCTCTAAGTTTATAGAGATCATTTAGTCTAGCATTAAAATATGAAGACTTCTTTCCATCATGAGACCAAAATGGATGTTTAGGAAGAAATACATAGAATATTTTTATCTTCCCATAGATACTACAGACTAATTTATTTAACTCTTCATAACTAAATACATTATGAAAGAATTCCCCAACACAATGTATAAAGTATAATAATTCAAAAGGGGGGTCATCGAGTTTTTCAACCGATCTGAAGAATATTACTAATGATTCGATTGCAGAGTCATATTTTTTGATATATTTTAGTACGAAATGGACTTAGAGCATGTAATAACTTGATTGTTCAATCCAACTAATTTATACAATGTATAAATCAGAGGTTCTATTGTACTAAATTCCAAATCAAAAGTATTAAAAGTAAACTTTTGAATTAGAATATCCAACATAACTCTTTGTACGTTTTTCGAATTCACGTAATATCCCAGAGGTGTTGTAGTCTGGTAATCTCTGCATTTGTATCTAGAATGGAATATTAAGATAGATCTGAAATAAAGTAGATAAAAATAAAAAAGAATGAAATAAAATAAAGAAGAGAACCTGTCATTCTTAACAAATGAATTAAACGACATTTCCCTTTCATTATTATTATCAATACCATAAAAGTGGTTCTCATTTGTATTTTGACTATTATTATGAATAGAATAATCAGGGATGACAATATCATAGTCAGATTTGTGTTTATATGTACAAGTACCACACATGTCATAGACCATGGGACTCTTGTATTCATCATCACTATAAAGAGAGAATAATCTTCTACCAACATAAGTTGATGGAAGTTTAGATGAAGGAGATCTATTAGACATTTGAAGAATGGAAAAATGAGATTAGATTAATAGAGAAGAGAAAATAGAGTAGTAGAGTCTACAAGAGTGTCTATGAATAGAATGAATGAATAGAAATGAATAAATTAGATTGTCTTGAAGGAAATTTACCATCCTTGAATAACACATCATAAGAATAAATCTTATTGATAGTGTCTGTATTGTTATAGTTCCAATCTTTAAACTTAATGATTCCAAAGTGTCTTACAACAACTTTATTATGGAATCAAACAAAGATTCTATAAATATGTTTACCAACATCTCTAGATTTTCTATAGCATATTAATGCTCTATAATTATTTTTGTTTAAGAGGTATCTACAAACATCAAGATAATTGTATTTATCAATGATGATGTAAAATCTGTGTTGGTATTTGGGTGTTACTGTATTCATTATGGATGTATGAGAATAAAAAGATCAAGATACCCCAGTAATCATTGGACATATTTTTTTTCAATTTTTTTTAAGAATTTCAAAGTGTAAAAAGTTTTAAGAAATTAGAAAAGGTCAGGGAAGAAAAAAAGAAAAAGGACATGATTGGATGAATCATAGAGAAAATGTATAAAAATACCATTATAGAGACAGAATGAAACTCTCTATCCATATTGATCGTCATTTTTGAAAAAAAATGCACTTGAGGTGGTCATAACCAGTCATGAATGTTATATAAAACAAAATAAAATAAAATAAAGTGTGTGTATTTTGTGTGTTTTATAAAACTATAAATATAATTAAATTTATTATAAATAACTATAATTGCACCTTTATTCAACTTGTGTGTGTTCTAAATATATTTTTGTTGTATAAAACAATAGATGATTTATAAATAGAAAAATAGACAAATTGTAATTTATTCATTATGTTATTCAATGTTATTTATACTATTGTTTATTATATTATATTATTTATATACTATTATATTTTATTCTTCATTCTTCATTCTATTTTTATTTATCCAATCAATCAGACAATCAATCATTTAAACAATCATTTTTTTTCTTATTTAATAATCAATCACTTTCTTATTTCATGAATTTTAAATGAAAAATTAAATGAAAAATTAATGAATTTTCTCTTTTTATTTATTGTTATTCTTCTTTTCTTTTGTTTTTCCTCCTTTTTTTGAAATTTTCCTTATTTCTTATTTCTTGTCTATTATCTATGATTTAAATTATCTCATTCCTGAAATTATCTCTTCTAGATACTCTGAACTTATACTGTCTTCTTTCTCCATTTCTTTTCAACTTCTTCAACTATTATATCTTTTTCTATCTCTTTTATTTCTACCTCTTCTTCGATTTCTTCTAATAA